TAAGCACATAAAAGTTATTTATATAGATATAGAGCAATATATGACTGAATGTGCAAAATTAAATTATAAATAAATATACAATTATATTAGTAAGTATCTCAGTAATATAGTAATTAGTATGAAGTATAAGAAAAAAATATTTTCGTTATATAAAGGATAAACTGATTACTGTGATAAGATTTTTTTTATTCAATAGTAATACAATTTTTATGAATTTTTTTCACTTGTATATATAATCATTAAGATAAAATATTTCTTGGTTAAAATATTGTTCAAATATTAATTTCTAAACTTTTTTTTTTTTTTTTTTTTTGTATTAAAAAGTAATTTCTGAAAATATTTTTCAAATGTAAATATTTAAGAAAAATCTATTTTTAAATAAAAATTATTATTTTTAAAAAAAACAATGATAAAATAAGAAATATATGATAAGATTTGAGATAATAAAATTAAATTTATTTGAATGTCTGTATAAGTATACTGAATATTTATAAGTACAAAATAAAATACAAATAAAAATTCAATTATTTTATTATTATATATATTTTTTCGTTATTTTAAAAAAAAAATTGTGTTATTTTTTCTAAATTTTATAAATTTCTGAAAAATTTTGTTGTGATTGAATTATATTACCTACATATTAACCTCCTCTTTCGCAAAATTGTGAATTGTTCTATTGATTTTACCACCATGTATATTTTTTATATATGTATGTATGTTTTTAATAAATTAATAAACGATAAGAAATAATGTATATTTTTAATAATAAAAAATCAATTTTTTATTGTATTTAGTATTAATCATATAGGTTAATAAAAAGTAGCATCAGCCATTGTAATCAATATGCTATTGGATACAAATAAATCTTGAATACTTGTTAAATATCCAATAAATAGATATTACATTATCGTTTAAATAGATAAGAGTTATTTCCGGTTCAATAAAAAAAAATTCTTTGTGTTTATAATATATAACAAATAAATTGTAATACGTTAATTTAACTCACAATTATCGATATGGCATCTCAGGTAATCTTTTCTAAAAATTGTCAATTTACTACAATAATAAAATATTAATTAAATAATGTGAATTGAAGGTGTACGAATTCAATGTAGAAATGATGTGTGAAGGATGTGCCAATGCTGTAACAAATGTACTTAATAAGAAAGAAGGTATGATTTATTATATATTTATAAATTTGAGAATTTTCATTTAATAAAATTTATATATAAATTTTATTTAAATTTTAAAACATTTTATTTTTTATTTTTTTTTAATAGAAATATTATAATTTAATATTTATATTTTATTTTTTATTTCTAACTACAAAAAATATCAAATATTAAATATTAAATTGATTTAAAAATTTTAGAATTTATTGGGTTAATTATTTAATTCAGAATTAATTTTTAGGTGTTAATGATGTACAAATAGATCTACAAGAAAACAAAGTATTTGTCACATCTATACTTTCTTCTGATGAAATATTACAGACTATTAAAAAAAGTGGAAAGACATGCAAATTTTTAGGAATAAAAAAATAAATATAGTATATATTTAATTATATTTTATATCATTTATTTTCAAGATTTATTTTCTTCTATAAAATTATTGTATTAAATGTAGTTCTTTTTACATTAAAGTTTCAAATCATGCATAAAAAGAATACTTAAAAATTTATTTTTATAATAACATATGTTAAGTATTAATTAAAAAATTTTTATTTTGAAATTAATTTTAGAAAATATTAAGTACAATTTAAATATATATTTTAGAAATATTTATTATTTACTTATATAATCAAATAATTTTTTAAATAAAATATAAAAATTTATTTTCTTAACTCTTCTTCTAATACTGATAAACGTTGTTCTAAAATAGTAACAGCATCACTTAATGATTGTACTTGTTCATTAAGTGCATCTACTATTCCATTTGAACATGTTACTCTATTTAAATCAGGAGATTCTTTAGATAAATGTGATATGTTTACAATACGACCTTTTTCAAAAGGTCTTTGATTTCTCATATTTATTACTCTATATTCTAAATTTTCATTTAAAATTCCAGTATCTGGTAGTTCACAATGAATTCTTCCATTTTTTAAATTTGTAATATCATATTTTTCATCTAATGACTAAAATAATAAAATATTTTAAATTATAATTTAAATATTAGCTATGAATATTAAATCGTGCAAATATATATATATATATATGTATGTAAATAATGTCTTAAAATTGTTATTACTTCTATTTCTTCTTCTCCTCCAGATATATCATCATCTTTATGTAATTTTTCATCCTTAATTTTTAATTCTACTTCTTTAACAGGTGAAACTAAATATCTAGAAATTTTTCGAGCAATATCATCCTTATCAAAATTTGTTTTCCACATTAATAATTGATGATCTGTTCCACCAGAAGCAAAAAATTCTCCATTAGAAGAAAATGTTACTGATGTTACGCTGGTACCATTTACATGTCCTTTAAGTGTATAAATTGGACGACCCTCTAACAAATCTAAAACCTATTTTATAGTTTTTGATAAATTCTATATAAAGAAATTATCAAAATATAAAAAAAATATTTACTTTCATTGTTGAATCATCAGATGCAGTTAATATGAAATTTCCTTTTGGATGAAATTTTATCATATTTACTGAGCCCTTATGAGTTGCATAATGTTGATACAAAGAACCAGTACGTATATCATATAATTTTACACAACCAATTGTATTTGCAGATCCAATAACATAACCACTTGGATGAAATTCCACATGTGTAGAATAAGCTAATAAGAAATTTAATAGTAGAAATTTTTGATTATAATTTAAAAATCCTTAATAAACTATAACATTTTAAAAAAAGAAAGACAATAAAAATTATTCATTTTTAATATAAATATAATTTATATATCATTATACCTTTTACATCATTAAAAGATTTAATACATTGTCCACTGATAACATCCCATAATTTTATTGTTTTATCATCACTACAAGAAACTATAAGTCTACCATCTAAAGAAAATCTAGCACATCTGACCCAGTTTGTGTGACATACAAATGACATAAGGAATCTTCTTTGACATACCATCCATAATTTAACACTTTTATCATCTGATGCAGTAATTAACTATGTATAAAAATATATATATTTATTTGATCAAAAATTAATTTATTTCTCATTTATCATTTAAGATATAAATACCTTTTCTCCATCTGGACTAAATTGTACTGACCTAACAGCACCTGAATGTGCTTTAAAATCTAAAGATTGTCCTGTAACTTTAGGAACCCAAATTATAACAGATCTATCTCTAGAAGCAGTAGCTATCACTTCCCCTGATGGTGCATAAGTTACATCAAAAATTACATCTTTATGTCCAAAAAATCTGTAAGCCCTTACAGATTCTTTCAAATTCCATAATATTATACTTTTATCTGAACTACTTGATGCTAATTGAGTAGTTTCAGGATGAAAACATAAACTTGTAATAATATTTTCATGTCCTTTAAAATGTTTTTCTATTGTAGGATCACAAGCAGTTTCAATCATCATTCTAATATAAATTGTATAAAAATTTTCATTTAACATTAAAAAATTATTAATATTCTTAACCTAAATAAACTTATTAATATATGTACAAATTTCATAATGTACATATAATACACGTATAATTATAATTTTAATATATGTATATTATTTTAAATATAATTGATTTTATTTTAATGAATTTAAAAAAAAGTAAAAAACATTACCTCTTCTTAATCACATCGATTATTATTATATATTTATATTATAATTGTTTTAAAGATATATTTGCGTTTTATTACATACACAATATAAAATATATACTTAATATATATAATTTTATTAGAAATAATAAAATGCTTTATATCATCGGTATTATATTAACTCATATATTAAACAAGATTTTAACCACGTTCAATTTAAAACGAATTTTGACTACGATAATCAACTAAAATACTATAGTATTATAGATATAGAAGCGCGAAATTCGAATAGCTATTTTATTATTATTAAATATATTATATATATCTATTTTATTATTATATGTTATATCATATCTTAATTAAATAAAATAAATATTCATAATTTTACTAAAAAAAGAGTGAGAAAAAAATTTCAAAACAGACATTGTTAATAAAATATGATTAATCAAATACTTTATTCGATTTTTTTATTTGAGAACAAGCTGAAGAATGAAACGTTTCTCATGTCGACAATGAGTACGATACGTAGGCTAGTTAGCAGGGTTGAATTAGATCTTTATTTGGAAGATACATAGGTATTCATAGGATAGTTGAACATAACTGTAGATGGAGGTGATTAAACACAAATGTACAAACGAAATACAATACGATACTTTTCATCACGTGTTTGGCGGTGTGAGCGTGGCTTTTGTCAATGGCATATTGTACAAATATGCCTTCTTTACCTCTAGTCAGTAATTGTACACTCGACTTACATGCTAAAGCTCCGCACTATCGCTTCTTTTTTTTTTTTTAAAAATAATCATATATATTTTGCGATAAAAAAAATCAGGTAATGTTGCTTTATAAACTTGACATTGCACTGCAATCTCTTTTACTTGGCCAAATGCATAGGCGACCGTAAAGAATTTTGGAATCACACAGAAAAAACAGTAAAAGGAGCGAAATAATTAGTAGCAATCATGAAACATGTTTCATGAAAAACATCTTTATGTATCCACATATTACATTATAATCTTTCATTTTTCCAACTACTAAATCTCGACAACTTTAACTTTCTAAATACTTCATAGATTCATAGACCGAAAATGGAATATGAAGTCAAGAAGATATATAGCACTAGAAGAAGGCATTGCTCACTGTATCCTCTTTTTTCTGGTATTTTAAAAAATTCTCTAGAACGATGCGCCGCAAGACAAAGAGATGGTCGTGCAGTTCATCTATTCGTGTAATTACTTTAACGTTATTCGTTAAATACATCCTTGTGTCTTTGCGTGAAATGCTTGTATGAGTTCTCATTTTTTTTTGTATTTTTTTATAATAAAATTATTTTTCTAATCTTTGTTGATCAGCTGTTGTTGCCCTGTGAAAACTGCCTTCTGTCACAACACAATAATACTTGCATGGTGGGTTCACGCCTCTAAATTTGGTTAATCTTTCCTTATATCACATTGTTATATCTGTATAACTCTTTGTCAATATTAATAGATCTTCTTTTGATAATTGTAGATACCAAATTCAAATGCAAAATTTTTATATTCAATGTCTCATTTAAGAAATATCCTAAGCCGCAAAAAAATATACCAAAATATCTTATTCCATTGATTAAATGAAATTTTTTTTAAATTTAAAATTACATATATATTAATATTTTTTATGCTTTATGTTATTTGCTTAATATGTATGAATATAATATCGAATGAATATAATTAATTAATCATTTACAACTATTAAACAACGATCTAGAACAATGAAATTGCTATTTTACATGTTAAAATTCTTGGTATAGTTTTTCCAAGCTTTTGTACGTATTAAAGATACGACTTAGGTTTTTTCATAAATAGACAATTGAATTACGATCTTAAAACATTATTTATGGTTCATATGTGCATAACTCTATCGCATTTTATTACTGTTGCGTATGAGGTTTACCACGAGGCGCATAACCGCCACGATTTCCACCTCTTTGACCGCGAAACTGTCCTCGACCTCTATCCATACCACGCTCACCTCGTGGACCTCCACCTCTTGATCCACCACCGCCTCTTTTATAACCAGAATTATAACCGCTATTTCCTTCGCTATTTCCCCAAGATCGTTGTTGATAACCATTTTGATAGTTGCTGTCATTACGATAATATGTTCCTAAATATAAAATTATAATTTAATCAAATGTATTAAAATCTTTTATTTTAATAAATAATATAATACATTATATATACCTTGCCCTCCGCGACCATTTTGTTGATAACCACCGCCCCTACCTCTTCCATTATATCCATTAGAATTGCCTCTTCGTCCACCTCTACCTCTGTATCCACTACGTTGTTGATCACCCCAAGTTTGTTGAGATGTTTGTTGTTGTGTTTGTTGTGAATCTTGAGCAGATTGTTGTGATTGATCTGTCGGATTCCAATCATTAGTTTCAGTCATTTGACACCAATCTACGGATTCATTAGGTTGTTCTAATTCTGATTCTGGTGCTGTTGTTTCATCTTGATTTTCTTCAGTTTTTTCCTTTAAAAAAAAAAAAAAAAAAAAAAAAAAAAAAAAAAAAAAAA